CTTGGGCAGGCTGCCTCCAGCCTCCAGCAGCCTCTGAACCCCAGTACAGAGCCAGGGGAAGCAGCGCCACAGATTGCATTGAAAAAACCCCAAACCCACGCTCCTGTGTTTTGATCCCAACTCTGAGCAGCTTCCTTGGATGCTCCTACTTCATTCCTGGAAAGGGGAGTGGAAAAGTGTCCCCTTGTCACCCTCCCTGGGCCACTGGAGAGGCTGGATGCTCTGAGAGCAGCTGCTGGAGCTTGCAGAGCTCTGCCAGCATCCCAGCATCGCTAACAACCCCAGCCACGAAATCCAGAGCCCTGCCAGCATCCCAGCATCACCAACAACCCCAGCCACGAAATCCAGAGCCCTGCCAGCATCCCAGCATCACCAACAACCCCAGCCACGAAATCCTGAGCTGTGCCAGCATCCCAGCATCGCTAACACCCCCAGCCACGAAATCCTGCTGCTTGGGTGCAAAAAAAGCCCCCCCAGGGCTGCAGATCCTGGAAGGACCCCGAATTCCTTCCAGGTTTAGAGCTTTGAAGGCTCAGAAATCCCAGCCCTGCCCATGGGGGCTGATCCTGGCACTCGACTGGGTGCTGGGCACCCAGGGAAGAGTGACAGGAGCACCGTGATGGGTGCGTTGCAGCTGAACCAATCCCCCCTCCTGCTGCTAGAAGGAGGACAAGGAAGAGGGGAGCAGGGATAACAGCTTAAAGAAGAAATTTCCTGACCGTGAATTAGATCTCATGCTCCAGCCCTGCTCCCTGCTCCTCTCCCCACAGCCCCTGCACGGGGAGGGGGGGGAGGCAACCGCAGCCCCCTCGCTTCAAACAAAAGCATCTGGGGAGAGGAGCTGGAGCTGCTGCGCAGAGGGAAGATGCATCCCCCAGTTAAGCCCAGATTAAAGAATGGGAATATGAAAACGCAGATGAAAAGCTCTTTGCTGTGGAAAAAATCTTATTAGGCCGTGAAATACAGTTTTTGCCACTTAAAGAACAGCGGAGTGAAAAAATGGCTATTTGCAAGTGCCTCCCCCCACCCCGCCCGCTCCCGCCGAAACTCATTTTGCAGTTTTCCCCCCACAAAAATCCAAAAAGGAAGTTTTTCATCAGTTTTTTCACCCACCAAAACCTCTCTGGCTCTCACTGCCTGGCACAGATTGGCAGTGCCAAAACCAGCCCCCCACGAGCCCCCCCGCCATGCTCAGAGGTGCATGCTCATCATCAAAACTCGCCCTTTGTGCCAAATGAGCCCCAAACCACAGCATCCCGGCCCCGCTGCCTGCAGGGCAAGTTTCCCCCTGCACCCGCATGGATTTATAGCTCAGGACTTTCCTGAGATTTATTTTTAATGATTTTTAGTAGCCTTTACTTCCAAGAATTTGTGCAATTTGCACCGCAGCAGCCTCTGAGTCCCCCTGGGGAAGGGCTGCGGGGATGGGACCCCTGGACCGAGACCCAGCCAGGGCATCGGACGGATCCAGCCCCCCGGCCCCCCAACAGAAGGGCTGTCGGTCAGGGACCCCTCGCCGCTTGCAGCGCGGTGACAGCCAGGTTCTGCCGGCGAACCAGCTGAAAATCCAGGCAAAGGGGGTCCGGGACCACCCCGAGGGACATCCCCGCAGCAGCGGCCGGCTCCTGCCACGCCACCGCCCGGGCTGCCGGCAGCCAGAGGAGAGCCAGCGCTTCCCAATGATCCGATTTAGCAGCCGCCTGTCATGTGAGGGGACAGGAGGGAGCAGGACACGCTGATCACGGCAGCAAGACCCAGGGCTGCCAGGAGCTGCCGGCCCTGCATCCCCCTTTACAGCCATGCTGGCGGGCTGGGGACAGCATCCCCTTCCCACATCCCGACACGTTCCCCGGGAGGGAGCCGGGCTCTCGGCAGCTACCTGGGGAGCACCGAGCCCCACAGCCGGGCACCCCGGGGCTCCCACCCAGCCCCACAGCCAGCACCTGCTGTGCCCGCTGCCCACGAGCCACTGGATGCTGCCGGGTGCCTGGGGATGCTGCAGGAAGCTGTGGGATGCCACAGGATGCTGTGGGATGCCATGGGATACTGTGAGATGTTGCAGGATGCCATGGGATGCTGTGGGATGCCGTGGGATATTCTGGGATGCTATGGGATCTCATGGGAGGCTGTGGGATGCCGTGGGATATTCTGAGATGCTATGGGATGCTATGGGATGCCATGGGCTTCCCAAAGAGCAAAGGCCGGTGTGAACCCAGAGCCCTCAGGTGCACCCACTCCCGCTGGTCGCAGCAGACCTGCACCATCATCCCCGCACCATCATCCCCAGGTCCCTCTGCCACCATTTTGCGGGTGCATTAATCGTGCCTGGGGTGCACGGCACCCTCCCAACAGCACCCGTGGTGGGATGAGCCGTCTCTGTGAGCTCAGACCGGCACAGGAGGTGCCCATGGGGCTCCCAATGTCCCAGCAGCTGCCTTCTCTGCCAGCCATGGCCCCTTCGCCCTGTTTTCCGTGTCAGCATGGCTTTGTTGTGACAGCTGAGCACAAACCTCTGACCTTACCTGTGCTCAGCAGGAAAACACGAGCCAGGAACAGCAGTGCCGGCAGCGGCGGTAAACGCTGACAAGGCACACGGCGCACCAGGCACCGGCAGAGTGGGATGGGGAGGGCACGCGGGCATTGGGCAGAGCCTTGCCAGACAGCGGCACCGGCATTCTCCAGCCAGGGATCGAGCTGAAAATGCCGGGGAGCTGGAAGGGAGAAGCGCGATGGACGCAGCGAGGGCAGTCAACGCTGCCAGCTCGGAGCCCGTCTGCGGGAGACACCGAGTCAGGCACCGCAGCCCGGGGTCAGGCAGGGACACGGGCAGGGGTACGGGCAGGTGAAGCTGGGTTTGTGCTCCAGCTCCTCAAGTTCATGGTGCTTTGAGCTGTAAGCAGGGGCTGCCTGCATGCCGGGCAGGGGAGGCAGGGGCCCAGAGCAGCATGTGCCCTCCGCAAACCCACCCAGCACCCCGAGGAGAGGGGATGCTGGGGGTAGGTAACCATCCTCCTCCGAAGGTGGCCATTATCCTCCTGCCACACTCGGGGAGGGAGAGGTGCCACCCCAGGGGTGCAGCTGACGGCTGGCCGGGCTCTCCCCTGCCTGCCCTGCCTGCACCAAGAGCAACAAGGCAGGAATCAGGGACCTGAAGGCTCCAGAAGCCAGGCAGGGGGCTAACCCCCTGCCCGGGCTGCCCGCCCCAGCGAGCTGCCGGCGTGCTCAGCCTGCCAAGCAGGCTCAGCCCAGCCCAGATGCCAGGCGGACAAGCCAGGCTTTCTTCCCTGCTCCGTCCCCAGCGCGGCGCAGGCCGGACGGCACAGACCCTGCTCTGTTACGCCCACGCTTTCGCCGGGACCACGGCAGCCAAAGGAGCCCACGGCCCGGCACCGAAGCGCACTGCCGCGACAGGGCCGCAGGCAGACGGGAGCAAGGGGCTGCCCCATGCCGTGCGCCGGAGGCTCGCACGCCAGAGAGATGCTCCGGCGTGAGCTCCCAGCGCTCGCTCGGCTCGCTCCGCTGACGCCTGATTACGGCAATGAAGTCAACGTGAGCAGCAGCCCTGCAAATTCACATCAGGTTTCCTCCCGAAACAGGGATGCGACTCGGGAGCTATTTGAAAGCAATTTGCAGCTGGAGATGCTAAGAGCAGGCGGCAGCGCTCGGCGAGACGCTCCTGAGATGGGAAATCCTGCCCCTCCACCGCGCTGGGCACGGCACAAGCGCTGCTTGGGAGTCTCTCGGGGCCGGCAGCACCGCGGCCACCGGCCACGGGGAGAGGGCCAGTGGGTTTTGCACCGCACACTCCCCTCCTGGTGCACTGCCAATGACCCAAGACCTCACCTTCCTACAAACAGCCCCAAAAATGCAGTGGCTGAGTTGTCCCTCCCAAAAACGTGGCGATACACACTAGGCTGGAGAATTAGCTCCCCAGAGAGGCGGTTAAAGCACCACTGAATAAACCGGGTGGGTTTAAAGCTGGTGTAGGCAGCACAGGAGAGCAGGGCTGCTCCGCTGGGCCCCACTGCACCCAGCATCTCCACCCGGGAAAGCCCTTTAGGCTCCCGCTGCCACGGTTTCATCCCAGGAGCAGCATCCCAGTATGGGCCGGCAGCGAGCACGGAGCAGCCCCAGCCCCGGCACAGGCAGGGCTGGATCTCCCTTGGGATATTAAACCCACAAGCATCACCGAAGGTCACTCCACGAGTGCCTTAATTAGACCGGAGCGGGGTGACAGGGAGCTTTCCAGCTTCCCGGGCAGCACGGGGCTGTGTTTGGGCAGCGCGATGCTCCGCAGCTTTCCCAGACCTTGGATTAAGGGGAAGAAAAGCGCAGCGCTGCAGCACTTTGGTTGCTTTCCAGAATAGCTGCTACGGGGGAAAAAAAAAAAAAGAAAGAAACCAAACGGCCTATGATAAATCATCCCTACGCAGTTCCCAGAGCTGCTGCCATCCGGATGCACGCCTTGCCAGCACGACCGAGTCTCCGTAGGGCCGTGCCGAAGGAGCCTGGCACCCCTGTGTCCTGGGAGAGGAAAGCCATCGAACCTGCCCCAGGCACGGAAACAGGGGGCAGGGCTGGTGAGGGGGGGCTGCTCCGGCAGAGCCCCCCACCACCGCACCGCGTCACGGGGAGGCGATGTCCCTTGGCAAAGGACAGACATCCCGGGGACATACAGCAGAGAGAGATGGTTCCTCCAAAGCAACCCACCAGCCACGCTGCTCCCTGAGGCGGCTGGCTCGTGGAGGGGGGTCCTCCAGCCTGGCACCCCCAAATTGCCAGAGCTGGTGGTCGGCAAGCGCAGGGGGTGCAGCTCTGCGGGGCCCCGGGCAGAGCAGGACAGCAGCTCCTGCCGTCCAGCCGCCGGCACCACGCAGCCCCACAGCAAGGATGAGCCACCCTCCGTCCCCGGCGTCCCCACGGCGCGTGGCAGAGCCCGGCGAAGCCCCGGTGAGCGCCAGGCAGGAGCGCTGTGCCTGGTTCCCCAGGGCCACACTTACATTCCTCCGATGGAGACGGTGGCACACGTGCGCTCGGAGAAAGCGGGCACGGTCTCGGTGGCACTGCTGGCTGGTCGGATGTAGTCCACCGTCACGTTCACCTAAACAAGACAGACGGGCACCGGGGTCAGAGCCATCCAGCCCGGGGGCTTCCCATACCCCGCCCCCATCCTCCCCCTGCCCCAAATCCCTGCCGTCGGCCGGCCAGCCCCTACACCTCCCCCTGCCCAGGTAAAGGAGCCATTTGCCAGCCGGCTGCTGGCACCAAGGGTGCTGCCAGCCAAGCAACATCTGACACACCAGCGTGCGAGCCAGGGCCGGGCACGTTAAACCAGGAGCCCCCCCAGGGAGGACAAGCTGCCACCCCGGGTTCCTGGCACGGGCACTCGCGCTGCCGGGTGTACCCCGGCTCCTGCCAGGCGTCCCTGCGAGCTCCCCGCGTGCCGGAGAGCTGCGGCAGGGAGCCCGAGCGGTGCGGTCAGCCCCGATACCTCCTGGTTTACGGGTAATTGCATTTTGGCCTCCGGTAGGAGAGCTCAGCTGTACCTGCAGGTAGATGAGAGCACAGCTCCCCGCTAAGCCGTAGCTGTCAGGTGGCATCAGCGTCGCTGGTGCCGCGCCGAGGGGGACGCAGAGGCCGGTTTGCAAAATGCTTTGGCAAGGCAGGGAGCAGCCTCGGGCACCCTGGAAACCCGGCCGTGCACCCAGCGCGGAGCCACGCTGTCCCCATGCGTGCCGTCCCCACGCCACCACCACCCACATCGCCGTGCCGGCGCTCGGCCATGCCGGGGACAAGCACCGCCGTCGCTCCTGTCCTCCCGCAGACAGGGGCAGCCGCGGCATTCGTGCACATCAGCGAGTGGGGGTCCACCTTGGGGGCAGGGGGCAACTTCTGCTGGGTAACTGCATCTCCCGCTGCACCAGGGCTCGGGACAACCTGGCGGGTGCGGAGATGCTCATGGGTGAGATCGTGCCTCAGGTTCCCGGCCCTGCAGCCCCCCCGGGCGTCACCCTCCCAGCAGCTCTTAGCCATCACCCCCTGCTCCGAACCTCCCGGGCATCACACCCCAGCGCCCATTACAAGCAATCAGCATTTCCATCCTGTACCAGGCCTTCGTGGTCCAGCTGGACCCCCGGACCGGACCAGGGAGCCATGGTGCCGTATCCGCCCCCCCCACCATCACCCCGCATCTCTCTTGTCCCCGTGAGGAGGGCTCGGTGACCGTGCCACCGAAGGTCACGGGAGGCTCGTGCCAACCCACGGCAGCAGCGAGGGCTTTCTCCCAGCAGGCGTGGGGCAGGAAGGCTGGAAAAGCCATCAGTGTCCCCACCGAAGAGCAGCAGTTCCCCAGGGGGGTTGGAAAGGCAGCGCTGCCCCACCTGCACATCCCGGTCCTTGGCATCGCTCCCTTCTCGGCCGCGCTGCCCACCCTCCTCCCTGCTCCCAGGATTTGGGGACCCCAGCTCCGGTCTGCATCCTGCAACAGCAGTCGAACCGTCGGCTGCTCCCGCAGCTTCGCCCCCGGGTCGGGAGACGTGCGGCAGCGGCGTGCGGGGCAGGGAGCACCGGGGCTGGAAGCGTCGGAAGCACCGGCAGCACCGGTGCTCGCCTGCACAGCAACACGGAGCTGCAACTCCTGGCCACGGCCGTGCGATAAAGAGCAGGGAAAAAGAAACCGGAGCCAAAGCCCGAGTGCTCGAACACTTAACGCAATCCCACATCTGCACGCGCCATTTCTACGCAAATCCAACCCAATCCCACCGCCTTGCTGGCCCAAAAAAGGACCTTCCTCACCAGTTTACCGGCACTTCAGCCGGAGGAGGCGGAGGTTGCCCTGGGCTGGGGGACCTGGGGGGACACGGGGGTGACACTGGGCTCCCCGGGGAAGTCCTGGTGCTGCCTCCCGCCGCCCCGGTCCAGCCGTGGGGCTGTATTTAGACACCACAGACTTTTTCCAGGTGTGCCATCGCACGGCACCGTGCCCGCCCCGCGCTGCCAGTTCTCAGCGTCGGCAGCTTGAGTCAAAGGGAGACAGACAGTCGTCCAGCTCGGCGGTGCGAGGGAGCATCCGTAAACCTCTTCAAACTGTCGGCTCTTCCCAAACCTCGCTTTTGAAATGAGCATAAAAATGCAAAAAAGGTACAATTGCCTGACAAACCCCCGCCGTCAGCTCACTCCCTCGTACAGGCGAGCTAATCAAGGTTTGCAGCAGCAAAAGAGGGGGCTCTGGCAGGAAAGAGCCAATTAAGGGGAGCGGTTAAAGCAATTCCTCCCAGCGAAACTATTGTCATAACAACTGTAGGGGAAAAAAAGACAACGATTACTCCGAGAGGCAGGTTAGGAAATTCAAGCTACTACAGGGCTTTTTAAATGTCATCTGGCTCAACAGCGAGGCACGGCTTGGAACCAACACCTTGCTTGGAATTAGGCAAAGGGTCTGGAGAAAGGCCGGCGGGAGGCCGGTGTCGGCTGGCGAGGAGCTCGCACGCTGCACCCGCAGCGGGGGGGGGGGGCCCGGGGAGGACGACCCCACAGCTCGGGCTCGGATCCTGCATCATCACAGGCAGGGGAAGAGCGAGGAGGGGTCGGGCTGGGTGTCACACCTCCGCCTGCAGCGGAGAAGCATTGCGTTCTGTTGCATCGCTCTCTGTTGCATTGCGCTCTGTTGCATCGTGTTGCATCGCAAAGTGTTGCGTCGCAAAGTGTTGCGTGGCATTGCACTGCAAAATGTTGCTTTGCATTGTATGGCATTGCAAAGTGTTGCGTTGCACTGCGTTGCGTTACCAAGTGTTGCACTGTGTCACACTGCATTGCAAAGTGTTGCACTGCGTTGCATTGCAAAGTGTTGCACAGCGTTGCATCGCATTGCGTTGCATCGTGTTGCGTTGCATTGCAGTACCTTGCGGTGCAACGTGTTGTGTTGCAAAGCGCTGCATCCCTCGGACAGACACAGCTGAGGCTTGTTGCAGTGACAAAGCTGGCACGTCCCCCACTGCGTGATGCCAGCACCGCTGCATCTGACAAGTCGCAAAAGCAAAAACTCCCTCCCCTGGGGCTGGAACAAGCAGGCTTGGAGAATCCTATGGATTCAGCATGAAAAGACTCAAAACTGTCCCCGCCGCCACCACCTCGGGCTGAGCGGGACTGTGGGTGACTGGGATGCTACAGCCCCGTCCCCACCTTCCCCAGCAGCTCAGCCCCAGTAGCGCCAGCAAACTGGAGGTGCCCCTCGGGGCTGGTGCCCCCAGGGGAGGGCTGGCAGGAGCCGGCCCCACAGACCCCCCCACACCGAGCCCCACAGCGTGGCACAGCACGGCACAGCACTGGCCACGTGCCCCGGTAACCCAGGGGCTGCAGCATGGAGCAGGCTCTCGCAGAGCTGGCACCCCATTTTTGGCACCTCCGCGGACCTGCCAGCGGAGACACGGGTGCCCGGTCGTGCCAAGACTCGGGCTCTGCCTCTTGACACTCCTGTCTCCGCAGGGCGCTGAGCTCCGGCCGCCGTATTTACCCACCTCCCGGGGTGCTCCCGGGATGAAAGGCGCTGTGAAAGCACCCATGGCACTATGACGGAGCCCCCGGGCGCGGGGACGCTGGTACGGTATCGAAGGACCCAGCCGGGGCTCCGGGACCTGCCGTCAGCAGTGTGACAGCAGCGGGAGCGGAGCTGGCTGCAAACCAGGAATTAAAACCTTCCCATCATTAGCATCTCGGTCCCTCTCCCGCTAATGCCCCGCAGCCCCTGGGGTAGAGCTGCCCCCTAAGCGTCCCCTCCACGGCTGCCAGCTCAGAGCAATTAGAGGCAGCAAACAGGCAGGAAAGCACACCCAAAGGGCACGTTTTGCTTCCTGCTTCCCGGCTCCTCGTGTCCCAGCAAGAAAAGGAACATTCCCACCGTGCCAACCTCTGCGCCGTCCCCAGCGCCCGCCGGCAGCAGCTTCGCGCGCTGGCCCTGGGCAGAGAAGGGACGCGCAGGGAGCACGGCGTGATCCCAGCTCGCTGGCAGTGGCCGTGGGCAGGTTTCTGCCCCCGGCTCAGGTCCCGGGTGTATTTTGCAGCACGTTGATGGAGCTAACGGCACCGCTGACCTGGGAAGGCGGCTTAGTGCATGCAAAGGTGCTCCTGTTCCCCTGTGCTTGCTCTCAGAGGGAGAACGCTCACCTTGGGCATGTTTTCACCAGTGGAAAATCAACTCCCGAGAGTATCCGCAGCCCTGGTTTGGGCACATCCTGCACGCCCAGCCCCGGCTCAGACACCTCCCGGAGCCCCAGCACCAACTTGGGCACCTTCCACTGCCATACACCCAAGCTTGGGGAGCTGCTCATCCCAGCCGAGCCCCCCCTACTGCTTTTAGCCATGACAGACCCGGACCCCCGACCCAGAAGCACCAGGGGACACTGCTGAGCAGCAGCACCCAGCTCTGGGGCTGCGCTCCGGGCTCCCACAGCCACCCCCCAGAGCCACGCTGCGCCCATGCTGAGCCTGGCTTCATCCACGTGCCATCCTGCAGGGACCCAAAGCCACAGGGAAAGCACCCCGGGGCATCCGACCACAGAGCCGGGACTGTCCGACACCAGGCACGCACGCACGATGCCATCGCTGCCACCCCACAGACCCGCAGCTCAGTCAATATTTCACGGGGGTATAAAAAGCAAAGCGCTTCCCAGGCGCAGAGAGCGACGTGCCGAGCTCCCCGTGGCTGCCAGCACCCCTGAGGGGCCCGGAGGGCAGGGGGTGGCCGGCACCAGGGTGGGATGCGCAGCGCTTGGCCGATCACGCAGGGTCCCCGCCTGACCCCCCCGCCATCGCTCCTGCACCCATGGGACCCGCGGCGGGCTCTCGCTCCCTCCCAAAACCAGCCAGCGTCAATGGCGGCCGTCTATCGGCGGATTTCCAAGGTCAGCTGCAGTCAGTGTGAATTAAATCACTCCGCCAGCTCTCCTCCCTGGAGGAGATCCAGCCCGGAGAAGAACGGCACTACAGAGATTCACATGCCTTTGTGCAGCCAACGCGTTCAATGTCACCCGCCCCGGCTCCCCCGCCGCCAGCCAGGGCTGTGCCGGACCTGCCAGCCCCTGGCCGCGCTCGCCCATCACCGAG